ACACACACACACACACACACACACACACACACACACACACACACACACACACACACACACACACACACACACACACACACACACACACGTTGAGTTTTCACACTTTGCTGCCAGGCCCGTGAGTCGAATCAAATCATCCCAAGGCTCCGCATATTAGAACCTGTGCTGCTGTTACACGGAGGCCCACTTCAAACAAGAACACATCTCATTTAAGGACACAAACGGTAAGACATGGAGACAAAATTAAAGAGAGCTGACAGGACATTAAGATTATGAAAATCTTCCCGTTTAATGCTTTGAATAAAGAATTCCAATTTACTGCAAATCTCTGAAATGTGTCAATTTATAATCCGAAAAAGAACTGTAATAGAGCCTGAAGATCACTTGTTTTATGTTGTATTTTAAAGTCTGGCTTCTAAATATCCCGCGGAGTGATTTATGTTTATTGAACTGAAATTCAGGTACGATAAACAGCAACTTATCAAACAAAGCATCTAATAGCCATTTAATGTCAATGCTTCATAACAATACAGCGACACATAAAGTCAAGGTCAGGTCATGTGGCTACAACCAATCAACCAGCAACTAAGCTTATTGAAAAGTTGCCACCTCAAGTAAGACACCTGCCCGACATTCTGGCAAACTGAACACTCCTGGAAATCTGGCCAAATGGGGATTTTAGCAACAATAGCGGGAGAGATGGAGAATAAGAGAGAGAAGGGGGCAGCATCAATAAAAGATGTTTCTTCCCCTCAGTGGTGTGACAAATGACTGCACAGCTCAGACCTGCTGCTGCTGACAGCCCCTCAACGCACACAGCAACAAAGGCAGCGAGGGAAGGAGACTCAAAAGGAGACAGAGAATAAGAACAACGAAGGACAAAACAGGTGCATGTGGAGGCAAAGAGAGCGATAAGAAAATGAGGGGAGGGAAACATTGGATGAAGATGGAGCGAGAGAAAGAGAGAGGAGAGAGATAAAAAGAGAGACTGAGCTGACACAAAAAAAGAAAAAAAACATTCATTGGTATTCTAAGGCTGTCTCCCATGCAGCACAGCACAGGCGGTGCAGTCAGGATGACAGACGGTGCTCCAACAGTGCCCCCTGCAGGACCAAAGAGGCTGTGACCAACTGGTATGAATCTAGGTCACCCTTTCAAAAAACACCAGTTTCTCTCAAAGGGAATCAAAAACTACTGCAGGAGGGTAACAGAACAACACCAGCCACCTCTCTGGAGTAGTTCTTTATATATTTGAACAAGGACAACACTTTTTTTTCTTTTTTTAAGTGACCTGATTTGAGGTTCACCCACATCTCTCAGGTCTGACTCTGACCCACACACACACACACATGTAGATGTCACACTACAGATGAACAAAACTATCGGTTTAAGATACAATGACGGGCCTTTTTTCTATAGAAGACACTTTGACATGGCACAGCAGAAAAAAGCACATGTGTAAATAATAAAAAGGCTGAATTCCATTTAGCTGCTTTAGTTTCCCGGTCCTGGTGTTGTGCATGCTCTCACTGTCTCGGCTTACTGCGACACTTGAATATAATGAAGTCATTGTTAATGGTATCGGTAACACCTGTGCTTTTCCTACTGTGACAAGTACAAAAGATATGATAATTAAGATATCTAAAATCTAGCGGTTGTTTGCCTCCGCTAACCAGTCAAGTTGCAGGTTTGTCCAAAATGTCATTCCTTCATAATTTCATCCTATTAGACATTTGTGTGAAATAATCATAATTTGCATATGAATTCTTGATTCATGACCAAAAACATATTATAAATTGTTAAATAAATTGTTAAGTCTGTAACAGGCAAAAAATAAAGACAAATTTTAAGGTGGACAAAATATTACAAAAATATATATATGTGGGTGGTCCTGAATCACAAACACTTGCTAAAAGGCACCGTCTTAATATACTTTGAATGATCTAAAAAATGATATATATATTTATCTTTAATTTGCTGTTGTTGGATTCTTTGTATATGACCTGACAATGTAAAGGTAGCTGGTTTCAGGTCAGATTTGGATCACAGATTGTGCAGTTACAAACACATACATTTGGGGTTGTGACATGAAGAAGTCATACCTTAAAAAAACACTGCAAAAACACCAAAGTGCAACGTGTATCACAGTAGAAATCATTAGCAAATTTAATCCACAGCTATATGTAACTGCCTTTTCATTAAATGAGAGTGGGCCGTTTTACGTGGGCAAGTCTACATGGATTTAAAAGACAGATGATGTTTTTAATGAGCCTACGTGAACATCAGTTATGCTGTAGCATCAAGTTATTGCTCATGAATGTGAAGTGTCTGGTTAGTTGTAGATAAAAAAACAAAGTTCCAGCACAAAGAGTCCCGTGTTATACAATGAAAACATCTTATTTCATCAGCTAGCACTTATCCAAAGGCTAGAAACTCCACAGACACATTATGGTGCAGAACTCCCCCCCTCTGGGTGCCAAGGCAGCACTGCTCCTCTGTTAATTTGTTTTTGTTCGTTCTTTCTGAATTAAAAACAAACAAACACCCATCAGCTGATACTGTGGTCCAGGACACTAAAGCCACGGGGGAAACAAGATTTTCAGGGAGAGAACTTTGGCCTTAGGCAACCGCATTGAAGCAACAGCGCTCAACAAAACCATCAACCTTGGTAATTCAAGTAATCCACAACACAAACATGTTTGAGGGCATGATACGTGAGCAGATTGTTCTTTCCTTCCCCCTCCAACGACTTGAAGAAAGTACGGCGGCAACAAAATAAAGTATTTCTCTTGACCATAATCTGAAGCATTCTGACCAGTAGTGTCGTCACAATACTGGGATTTCTAACTTTGATGCAATACCTTTAAAAAATATCAATTATCTATACTGTTTTTGATACTACATGGGATGTTTTATAGAGCATTGATTGCATAACATGTTAGATTTGTATTAAAAGATATATAGGCCTATAATGAAGCCAGTGTTTCCAACAGGATTTTATGAGACTTACTGTTGAAGTTGGATGCTCACCACCAAAGATACATCTAAGAACTCTTGTAAAGAATTTGGTGCTCCAGTAAACAATGTAATCCTCAACATATCGGTTATATCAAACCCACAAAGCATGGTAAATGAAGACGGGCTCCGTGTTTCAAGAGGGGTCTGGTTGGAGCAGGGGCCTCCGTCCCTCCCCGCAGGGAGAGAGGGTGCAGCGAGGGCTGAAAAGCTCACCTCACCACCTTTCCTTTAGCCGCGGAGAACAGGAGCCCAGCCAGGTGTAACAAGATTTTCAGTTCATTATGAAACTGTGGCAGGACTGTCTCGGTAATTAACCCTCTGAGACCCGTCAAAAGTTTTAGATACCAAACAGCATGGAGATCTCTAAGGGGTCCCCCAAGGTGTCGGTGTCTTAATGTGGGATTTTTGATCATTTTTAACAATCAGGTGTAGTAAAGAATTGGTCAATTTTGCACCAAATCTGTGTAACAAATGGTATCAACCCAAAAATTGCTGCAGCACCTTAGTGAGCATGGGAATGGCCATCACATATTTCCATCATCGTAATGTTGAAGCCCTTATACACTTTCCTAATTCATCTCAATGTATTAATTCTTTAATTTCTATTTCTGATTCAGGACTAGAACAACTTGCTGAGCTGCACCTCAAATGACTCTTTAGATTCCCAGATTTCAGATGATGTCCACCACTTCTATGTGGCACACATTGTTGACCTGCTATCTCCCCGGAAACATCCTTTTTGCTGGTTAAACCTACAGTCTGTCTGGAGACGAGAGACAGGAAGAAGGTACCGGTGTATCGATGGAAAATGAGCACTGTAAGCACTTCAAATATTCACAATCAATATGTAGCAACAACACTATTACTGTATAAGTATGTAGCATAGAACTGAAAAACGGCCCTCGTGTCAAGCTTCGTCACTCACCTTTGACCTTGACGTATATGAAATCCGGGTTCACACAGAGGGCCATGTTGCTCGGCAGTGTCCACGGTGTCGTCGTCCAGGCGATCAAAGCCACATCTTCATTCCCAACCAACGGGAAGTTGACGATCACCGACGGGTCCTGAACGTCCTGGAGACAAAAGTGAAACCGAGTCAATTCGATATATTTACACCCAGACTGTAACGTTCTGTTACTTGCGCTGCATTGGACCACTTGAGGTGTGATGGTGGTGTTTGTGCCAACCTTGTAGTTCTGGTTGGCCTCAAAGTTGGATAGAGGGGTGTTGCAGGCAGTGGAGTAAGGCATGACTTTGACGCCTCGGTAAATCAAACCCTTGTCGTACAGCTGTTTGAACACCCACCTGAAGGAATAGAAGACACATGAACAAAATGTAAAGAGGGAAGGAGTGACAAAGTGCACACAAGAGGAGAGACTGGAGACAGGGGTCGAGTCCGGTTTGTATTGCTTTAAAAATATATATACATATTACTTTAAGTGTTTTACTCGAGGTAGATTGTGGTTATTTATTATCATCAGTGTACTCCTGTGAAGTGTTTAAAGCATGGCTGAAAACTACATTTCCTTTGAGATAATAATCAGGTTAAAGTTGAAGAAATCTAAATAAATCTCTGATGAAAACGACTTTGTGTCATTAGTATATCAAATAGAGCCGACATTAAATATCTTGTATTCAAGTCACATACAAATAATGTATCTTTAAGCCACAACTTGTACAAACAAGATGGTAAACGTGACATTTATACCAGACAGTCTCCATGAACCACGGGTAGAGTGTCTTGTAGTCGTTATGGAAGTCAATCCACCTTCCCATTCGCCTCACTGAATTCTAGGAATAAAATAAACATACACATAACAAATCAACAGGACATAATGATCTTATGCAAAATGCTGCAAGGAAATTCATTATAAAATATTATTTTTAGGTCAGTATTCATATAAAAAACATGTGTTGCACATATGATATCTCCCCATGTTTCAGAGCAGCTTCAGAGCAGCTTCAGTGCAGTTTCAGTGCAGTTTCAGTGCAGTTTCAGTGTTCCAACTCAGATATGCCTCTTTTTGATTGATATGTGGAATGAAGAAAACAAACCGGCCTCACAAGTTTGGCTACAAAGTTGTCTCACCTCCCACTCCTTGGAGTATCTCATGACAATGTTTCTGCACTGGTTGTTGTACTCAGCAATGCCCATCTTGGCCACATCTGCAGGCCCTTTGATCCCCAAAGTCTTATCGATCTCATACTCCTACAACAGCAGACAGAAAACGAGACGAATCAACAACGCAAGGATGAATCTGTACGTCTCTAAGACCTCGACAAATCAAACAGATTCTTACCACAGGCAGGCCGTGACAGTCCCAGCCAAAGCGCCGGTCCACATGGAAGCCGCTCTGGTGAGCAAAGCGAGTAACGATGTCCTTTATGGTGCCGGCCAGGATGTGCCCATAATGGGGTAGACCCGTTGCAAAAGGAGGCCCATCGTAAAAGGTGTACCTGGTTGGGAAATGTCCGTAATATATTTTTAAAAAAAGGTCAACAGTATTTTCTCTGTGATAAAAGAAGAAGTTGGATACGAGATGATAAGACAAGATGAGTAAGGTGTCTGGAAACACTTCAAGATAACAGAAAAATAACATTAACACTGCCCCGTGTATACGAGTGTATTCAAATCCTGCAGTTTCAACCCAATATGAGCCGAGATTTTATAAATTGTTTGTTTTTCCACTATCAATGAATTAACTTCACACACAATTTCTTGTTACTTAACACTTGATGTTTGTGCATAACACATGACAACACTGCTGACTTCAATGTTTCTTAAATGATGGACAAGTACTGACACTCATAAAGATCAAATTACTAAAGTGTATAATGGAGTCAAACTATAACTGGTTAGCCAGGAAATGGAACTTTTACATTTCGCAGCGCAACAACTGGAACGCCAAACCCTTAAAACATTCCCGAAACACTGCCAGCATTAAAGATACAGCAAGATATGACATGACTACGTAGCTCATCTGAACCACTTATTAAGTGTTCATAATAATTTGTAACTAAAAAAATATTAGAAAGCCTTTTCTTAACAAATATATATATATATATATATATATATATATATATATATATATATATATATATATATATATATATATATATTCAGATGTTATCTCATCTTACACTTGAACAGCTTTGATGTGCGAACATGCTACTTCGTAAATCAATCATCATAAGTAAGAAACAGTTTGATGTACTTGGGCCTGTTCTTGGACTGTTTAAGGCATTCCTGGAAGCAGTCCTTTGTTTGCCAGAACTGCAGGATCTTCTCCTCCTCTGAGGGAAAGCTGATGGACTCAGGGACTCGCTCCACCATGGTGTCTACCAAAAAAACAAAAATGTTTCTCAACAGACTTGTGGAACAGGAAGACGTGGAAATAAACCACACTGCATGCGTCAAGAAAATCACAAATAAATCAGTTATTTATCCTCTCCATCTGTTATAATAATAATAATAATAATAATAAAGTATTATCCACTAAAATATCCATTATTGGCCCTAAAAATCTCTCACTTTCAGCACACATACATTTCCCACAATTCCACGTATCGTTTGGGAAAAGTCAGGACATTAAACCTACATTATAGTCCAACATTAAGACGTGTCTTTTTCAGTAACCTTAAATGTCTCCTCCACCCTCCTCAAACCCTGTCAGCGCTCGATAGTTTGTGAACAGAACATGCAGTCTTTTTGAATATTTTATGATCTAATATATTATTTAAATGTCGAACGTGTTGAAACTATGCCCAAACTAGTTGATCAGGGCCAGTAAGTCACTTTTCCACAGCAGTTAGCGTTAGTTCACAATAATGACGCCTTCTTGTTGTTAGCTAGCAGGCTAAGCTAGCCGGACGCTTCCGTCAGTTAGCTTGCAGCTACTCGACAGTAAAGTTTGTTAAAGTCAGCGTTTGGACGCTCACGTGTACTATCAGATGTTCAGTGAAGTTTGACTGTAATCGAACATTTTCTTGTGAATACTGAGTTTGAATGGATGCACTCACGTGTTGTCTGCCCGCGGCTGCGAAGAGAGAGACAAGAAATGATGCAAGCTGGAGTCAGCGTGAGCGGAAGTGACGATGTAGTGTAAAGTTGGATTTTTTTTTTTTTTTTTAATGGAAATAAAAGGCGGACATTTAAACGTGTGACTGTCAAAATAAAAGAAAGGAACATTTCATTCTCTTTTCTACGCCAAATTCACGACATTTTGGAACCCGATATTGTACTTTTTACTCCACTACATGTATTTGACAGCTTTGGTTACTAGTTGCTTTCCATTCAGATATAAATACAAATAAATAAACATAAATCAATGAATGAATTATTGAGCAACACAGCAGGATATAAAGTAACTGAAATTAGCCCCACAGACAGTCTATCATGGTTTATACCAGATGTACACATTAATGCAAAACTGATTTTAAACCAGTGGTATTGTATACATGATGCTGCTCAAACACAGTCAAAGTTGATGGACAATGTTTTCCTCATGTTGAATTTTTTTAGTATCTGCACAGACAATTGTATTTCAGAATCAGAATCAGAACCGTTTATTGCCATGGTATGTTGAACATACAAGGAATTTGACATGACGGGAGGTGCATAACATTTAACAACAATCAACAACAATTGCTGCGGTTTACTATCCTTATGATGCAAATTTTAACAGTACAGGAGTGTACTACTGTTTTGTTTTGTTTGTCATGTTTGTTTTGTTACAAATGGGCTACAACTGTATGTCGTTGTGCATCCCTGTGTTGCATAATGACAATAAATGATCCTTGAACCTTGATAATTCTGAAATGGGCCTTTCTGCATGGTGAGTACTTTTACTTTTGGTACTTTAAGTAGGCCTATATTTTGATTCATATACTTTTGTACTTAAGATTTTGAATGCAGGACTGAATGTGGTATTGCTTCTGTTACTTAAGTATAAGATCTGAATACTGCTTCCACCACTGCTTTGCTGACAATACTGTTGCAACAGTTTACTTTGATTGTGATCCCACACTCAAAGACTAATTTGATAAATTTGGAAATGCCACAGATAAATCTTTTTTTAAATCCATATACGACATTCAAGTGTTCTGAGTTCTAACTCATTTGGGTGGAAGCATGTTTTCATCCAAGGATAGACAAAAATAAATCACTAATGGTTCCCTCTTTTCTTTTCTCCTTTCTTGTCCTAGACAGTCCTACCGTGTCTTATATTTGTCCAAGTGAAGAGAAAGGCCATTTGAGGTATAAAGAGCAGGACATTTTTTTAAATTCAATGACAGAATTCAAATGAATGAGGGCGCTGTGTTTCTTCACATTGGGGTACTATCGGATGCTGGGACAGAAAACTCCAGTGGTGTGCGTGTGACGACTGGCCAGGTTAGGACACAGCTGGAGAGACTCCACCAAGGCAAGGATGCAGGACCTGACGGCATCAGCCCCAGGGTTCTGAAGACCTGCGCCATCCAGCTGTCTGATGTCCTGCAACACCTCTTCAACCTGAGCCTGAAGCAGGAGGATGTCCTGTTGCTGTGGAAGATGTCGTGCCTGGTTCCTGTTCCTAAGAAGACAACTCCATCTGGCCTCAATGTCTACCGACCGGTTGCCCTCACATCTCATGCGATGAAGGTGCTGGAGAGGCTGTTCTTGGCCCACCTTCGACCGTGGGTGAAATCATCACTGGACCCTCTGCAATTTGCATACCAGCCTCATGTGGGAGTGGACGACAGCATCATCTACCTGCTGCAACGAGCTCAGTCGAACCTGGACGGAACTGGTGGCTCTGTGAGAATCACTTTCTTTGACTTCTCCAGTGCATCCAACCACTGCTGCTACGTGAGAAGCTGCGGGTGGTGGGGGTAGACGCGTCCACCGTCTCCTGGATTACTGACTCACAGGCAGACCAGTTTGTCCGACTGGGCCGTGTGCTGTGTTGATACGGTTGTCAGTGGTACTGGAGCTCCACAGGGAACTGTTCCGTCTGCTGTTCACCATGTACACCACTGACTTTCTCCAACAGACTCATCCAGCTCCGCTGTCACAAGGACAGATACAGGAGATCATTCCTGCCCACTGCAATAAGACTACAATAAATCACCTCTGGCCAAATCAATCACACAACTATAACATCTTTGCACTAGTTTGTTTGGTTAGATCTTTGCACTAGTTTAGTTAGTTCATTTTAATATTATATTTCATTGTATATACATTTAATATTTTTTACTTTTATTGCTTTACCTGTACCATAAATGCTGCTGTAGCAAACAAATGTCCCCTTCCGGGATTAATAAAGTAACTATCTATCTAAATCACATTTAATCTGAGTTCAATCTTGTTTCTGCATACGGAACTATCAGAACCATACCATTAACTCAAAGCTTCAGATTCAACTGGCTGCAAGTGACCAGCTTGGTGGAAAGTGTAGTTACATTACATTACATTTCTAGGAGGACAAAGCAATGTCAGAAAGTAAATTTCTTAAATACAGACTTTATTGAATTACATTTTTTTTTGCATTTGCCTTTATTTGAGTAATCCTAATTCCTCATCTTTTGTGATTTTGATGAACGATAAATTAAAGACTATAAACATTACTTTGGTGGAATCCCAGGCACCCAATCAAATGATTCATTCCTTAACATCAAACTGAGGGAGTTACAATAAAAAGAGAAAAATGTGATGTTGGTTTGTTAAAGCATAGCTTTATTGTGATGGTGGAAACAGTCTATTGAACGGTGACAGACATTGAGGCGACCGGCTGGCAGACTATTTCACTGCATTAACTGCCTTCTGTGCGGCCTTCATGCCCTTCTTGTTGTGCTTCTTAGCGAAGCGCATGTTCCTCAGGAACTTGGGGTCCACCTGCAGCAAAGAAAGAAAACAAACAGTGAAGTGAGCAGTGTGAGACGTGCTGCACAATTCCAGGATCTATTTTTTTTAAACAAAATAATCAACCAAATTCCAACAATTAAACAGAAGCAAACCAAACACTTGTCAGTTTGCATTTGAGTAGTGTTACATATCAGGCCTCTAAGAAAACTAACAACTTTGACAATAACATTTGCATAATTTCCCAGGCATCCCTGTAATAGACGTGGTTAAGAGAGTGAAGCATTTTGAAGAGATATGCTTAGTTTTGTACTTGTGAACAATGCTGCAGTGTCAGCCGAGCAAAACAAAAACCATCTACAACTGCTTTCAGCATCTTTAATTGTACATTTTTCAGCTGCCTGTGTAGCATGAACATTATTGACAATGTGATGACAATTTTGGATTTAACAGCAGTGTGAAAAGCTTTTATTGAAAGAATTTACAATTACTAAATTACCTCTAAAATGAACCACTAGGCTAAAAATAAAACGTAACCTGCGTTATTCTCCAGACAAGAGTTTATGGTATCCAAGTGTTTCCTAAACCACACAAGTGAGGACACATGTAGCCAATGATCTTCCTCTCACTCAGAGCATTAACCCACATCTTAGTTCCCGGGTTACCAATGACTGATTTCTTTTAAAAGAATGTATACAAAAATCTTAATCCTGTAATTGGGTGAAAAAAATGGACTGTATGAAAGACAAGCAGGATGTAAGGAAATATTATTAGTAGGGATGCATCATATTCATAATAATTAAAAAAAAAAAA